TTGGATGTGAAATTGGGTGGCTGCATTTATTTCATTGACCAAGTTCAAAGTTCAAAAAAACATTTCTAGAACTTTATGACACATCCAAGCTATCAAATTTTATATCGCATAGTTATAAGTAATTGTGACCAACTCATATAGAGGTAAATGGTCTCATTATATACAATCCTGATAGAAGAGGGGTTTTGAAATAGGAAAACTGGATCAATTATTAATCGAGTCAAAAAAGATTAGGTGAATGAGGGAATCTATCTTGCATGTGTTCCAGATAAAAAGGAATTTAGATTGGGATGCACATTAGATCTTGGTCCGAACTATGAAGCTTTGTGAGATTAGAAAAAGTTTATATGGAGCCGAGGCTCTAAACAATCAAATTAGAGCACACCTAAAAAAAAATCACTCGAGGTTGTTTTGAACCCAAATATCCTCAAATTAATCATCTTGACATGAACATGATAAAAAAATGGATTTCAAGTTTTGAAAATAGTACATCGTGTAACTCATTTTTGGAACATCAAATTTCCAGTATTTGAAGTTTTCATAAATCTGCCCAATCTACACTATTTTTTAAGCTTTAAATTTCATAATTAAATATTAAAGTATATTTTAAGTCTATCACAAAGATTTTCAATATTGAAACCACATTTCTCGACACTATTTTAAGGCGCGCTTTACTTTGATTGTTTAGATCCTCGGCTTTATACAAAGCACCCTTATTTATAAATAGGACATAAGATCTTTTTCTTCCTCTCGCTAAAATTACTACAAGGCTCATCATGGATTAACTCTCTCCCTAAAAACCAGAGAGTGAGAGAGAGAGGAGAAAAAGGTAGAAACCCTATTCTAGTCTTGTGAATCTATGGACCTTGTGCCATCGATGATTAAGGATGTTCACTGGCTATATGAGTATTTGACTCTTGTAATCAAGATACTTACCTGAGATGTGGCAAGTATCATTCTTCAAATATTTAGAAAGTACTTGCTTGAATGAGCAAAGTAAAAT